CATTCTATTAGACAGAGAATGGTGGATAATTTTCTCAGACGTAAAGAGTAAACTATTCAACAATGATGTGCTACAGATAGGCACCAAAAACACCAGAGACTATACCTGGGAATAAATAGGAAGTTTTAAGACAAATGAAAAAAAATCGGACACTTCTACCTAGAATCAGAAAGAAACAGACGATATTTCTATGACCCATTCTAAGGAAAGACGGTTTGGAGAATTTGACACGTGCAAGACATACTGAATTCAAAAACGAAAGGAAGAAACACAGAATAACGTATCTAACGAGCTAGTGTAAATGGATGGTAGAGCGAATGAAGGATGATGATAAAAACCGTAGTAAGAGCCAAAAAAAAGGAAGTTGTGGAGTGCCTTTATCGCCAACCTCCTGATTGCATTAACACGTTTGTATGCATTAACAGCAATGATTCTAAGACGTTATAATGGAAGCTGTATGAGACGTAGACATGCATTATGAAAGCTCTGCTGAACGCTCTATGGAAGAAGCATCCCACTGTACTATGTGATTCGTGCAAGGAATTCCGGAGGTTTGAATCCAATTTAATGTCCATTGATCTAAAAGGAGTTGTTCTGTGGTAACCCCGATATGAACTGGGGTCACGTTAAGATATTCCAAAGTAATCCCTGTACTCGGTGTCACCTCAGAAAGTAAAAAGAGCTAGGTGCCTCGAGTGTCGACAGAGAAGGTAACCTCGAATACATCAAGTGCAAAATCGGGCCTTGAAGATGTCGATGATCACCTCAGAAAGTAAAAAGAGGTATGTGTCTCGGGTTTTGACCTAGAAGGTAACATTGAAGACACCAAGTGTAAAATCGGGCCTTGAAGATGTTGATCACTTCAGGAAGTAAAAAGAAATAGGTGTCTTGAGTTTTGACCGAGAAGGTAACGTTGATGACACCAATTGCAAAATCGGGCCTTGAAGATGTCAGTGTCAGGACAATGAAGTAATAGACATAAATCACTTTGTAGGAAGATTATTGAGTGAAAATATATCTGATCGAATACAGACGACAATTAATTTATCCATTCTCGTTTATTAATATACACACGCACGCGTGATCATACAGAGGCATATTTTATAAAGAAGCCATACATAATTGTACGCCGGACGTAATAATTTGTACATGTAACTATACTAGTTATTTATGGTAGACGGCATCCATCATATTACCAGCACGTGAACATGTATGGCGGATGCAAATATGTGTGTGTCCGGATGTAGTTTTTATTCGGCTTTGAAAAACTTGCTAAAAATATTGGGCTCTTAATCAAACTTTTCACAATAATTATTTTTATTGTAACCTTCAGGTTATGGCAGCGTCATAAAACTTATATCTTTACACTTAATGTCTTTCCAGCTCCTCTTTGCTTTTCTCCTTTTGACAGTTTTCTTTTGTTTAAATATTCATTTTACTTTTTGCGATATTTCTTTCTTTTTTAGCGGTTTTTCTTGCTGTTGTTACTTACATCTTTGCGCGTCATGTTAATCTTTTTTTTCTGTTAATCTTTCTTTCCTAATCTTAATCTTTCTTTCTTCTCTTTTCATTCATTTGAACTTTACTTTTTCTCTCCCCTAATTTTAATCATTTTCTTTCTTTTTTCTCTCCCCTAATTTTAATCATTTTCTTTCTTTTTTATCTCCCCTAATTTTAATCATTTTCTTTCTTTTTTCTCTCCCCTAATTTTAATCATTTTCTTTCTTTTTTCTCTCTCCTAATTTTAATCATTTTCTTTCTTTTTTATCTCCCCTAATTTTAATCATTTTCTTTCTTTTTTATCTCCCCTAATTTTAATCATTTTCTTTCTTTTTTCCCTCCCCTAATTTTAATCATTTTCTTTCTTTTTTCTCTCACCTAATTTTAATCATTTTCTTTCTTTTTTCTCTCACCTAATTTTAATCATTTTCTTTCTTTTTTCTCTCACCTAATTTTAATCATTTTCTTTCTTTTTTCTCTCTCTTAATTTTAATCATTTTCTTTCTTTTTTCTCTCTCCTAATTTTAATCATTTTCTTTCTTTTTCTCATTCATAAGTAATTTACTATTACTTTCCTCTAACTGCAATATTTTTTCGTTCTTTCTTTCTTTTTTCTAGTTTCATTCATTTGCAATTTACTCTTACTCTTTTCTGATGATAGTGTTTTTTCTTTCTTTCAGTTCATACATATTTTCCTCTTAATCTCAACTAATTTTTATCTTTTTCATTCATTTCTTTTTTTTCTGATTCATTCGTAATTTACCCTTTCTCTTCTCTAATTTTAGTAATTTTGTTTCCTTCTTTTTTCTTTCATTCAAATGTACTTTGCTTTTCGTCTCATCTAATTTTAATCATTTTCTTCTTTTTCTCATTAATATGTAATTTATCTTTATTTTTCTTTCTTTCTTCTCTTTTCATTGATTCGCAATTTACTTATACTTTTCTCTAATTTTAATCTTTTTCTTTCTTTTTTTTTGTCACATTCATATGTAATTTATCCTAACCTTCCTCTGTCATCTTTTTCTTTCTTTCTTACGTCCTTTCTTCATTTTTTATTTATTTTTACTCTTATCTAATTTTATTCTTTCTTTCTTTCTTTCTTTCTTTCTTTTTTCATTTAGACTTTCCCATTCTTTCTTTCTGCAATTTCCTTTTTGTGCTTTCATTCTTTTCTCTAATTCCTAATCATTTTCTTTCTTTCTCTTTTCACATTTAAATATTTTTCTTAGTGAAATTTTCTCATTTACTCTTAATTTTTCATTCTATTTTTCTTTATTTCACTCATCTTCCTTTTTCCACATTTGCAATTTACTTTTTTCCTTTTTCTAAATTTGAATCTTCTCCTCTTCGTTTTCTGATTTACTTCTTTATTCTAAATTTTAATCTTTCTTTTTCTTTGTTTATTTTTCTTTCTTCTTTTCTTTATTTGGTTCTTTCTTTTTTCTTTCTTTATTGATTTCCTTGTTTCTAATTTCCTTTTTTCTTTCTAAATTTTAATCTTTTTCTTTCTTTCTTTCTTTCTTCTTTTCTTTCTTTTTCTTTATTTGGTTCTTTCTTTTTTCTTTCTTTATTGATTTCCTTGTTTCTAATTTCCTTTTTTTCTTTCTAAATTTTAATCTTTCTTTTTCTTACTTTCTTCTTTTCTTTCTTTTTTTTATTTGGTTCTTTCTTTTTTCTTTCTTTATTGATTTCCTTGTTTCTAATTTCCTTTTTTTTCTTTCTAAATTTTAATCTTTCTTTTTCTTTCTTCTTTTCTTTCTTTTTTTTATTTGGTTCTTTCTTTTTTCTTTCTTTATTGATTTCCTTGTTTCTAATTTCGTTTTTTTATTTCTAAATTTTAATATTTCTTTCATTCATTCAATCTTTTTTTTTCTTCTTTAGTAATTTATCGTTTCTTTTCCCTAAATTCTAAACATTCTTTCTTTTTTCATATTTCAAGTTTTTTTGTGGATTTTTCTTTCATTTGTGGTTTTACTTGCTTTTTAATCTGATTTTTTTCTTTCCTTTTTTTTCTATCTTAATTCTTCTTTTTCCCTTTCTTTCTTCCATTTAAATGTTACTCTTTTTTTACATACCTCAATATTTCTGTTTTTTATTTAATTTTCTTATTTCGTCTGCGGTTTTTTTTATATTCTTTCTTTCTATCTTACGATAATTTTTCATTTTAACATTCTTATATTTTCTATTTTTCTTTCTTTTTTAAAAACATTATTTTTTACTAATCATTTTTCCTTCATTTAAATTTTACTCTTTTTTTTTACATTTTTCGATATTTTTGTTGTTCTTTTATTTCTTTTTCCTCTTTCTTTCCATCTTCTCATTTTTTATTTTCATATTAACATTTTTATTCTTTTTCTTTCTTTTTAGATTCTTATTCTTTCTTTATTTCTCTACAATGTTTTTTTTACTAATTTTTTGTCTTTCATTTAGACTTTATTTTCTTTCTTTTTTCACATTTTTCGATATATTTATTCATTTTTTTTATTTCGTCCATGATTTAGTTTTTCTTTCCAACTTCTGATGAGTTTTTGTTTTCATATTTACATTATTAAAGAATGTTCTTTTTATAGCATACTTCTTTCTTTCTATCCTCCTTCCATCCGTCTTCTCTATCTTCTTCCTTTCGTTTTTTTTTTTATCTACAATTCATTTATTATTTTTTTTTTCACTAAATGTTTTTCTTTCATTTAAATCTTTCTTTCTTTCTTTCTTTTTCCCCTCTATTCGTCATCGACTTCATAATCGTCCATCATTTTTTTTTCTGGTGAAGGAGAGTTGGCGGCTGGTGTACTTGTGTTGAAGAAATATTTCCCTGATTTTCCTTGTTGAAGTTTATTGGAAAAGTTCAGGCAACCATTATTATGTTTGTCTCCTTCCACCGTTTCTGCTTCAACAACTTGCCTCCCTACTCGTAATTTACCAAGCTGACCTATTTAGTGGCACCGTCTGTTGTCTACCAAACTGGCTTCTTCTGGCTAAAAACTGACGCAAAGATAAATTTTTCAATTCGTTTGTCTACATATCATCGACCTGTTATGCCACAACCTCCAGACTCATAGATTTGAGAAAAAAACTAACAGTTATTATTTCCTTCAAGACAATTTTTAAATCGAAATTTTTGATCCTATTAATTTTCTATCAGATTATTATTATTATTATTATTATTATTATGCGACTCATAACTACATTATGGAGGCATGTCTTTGGTTGGTTGATTTTGTTTAGCGGCATATCAACCTCTATGGGTTATTTAAATAACCCATAGAGGTTGATACCGAAATCTAAATAGTTTGAAGACAATTTTTATTTTATTTAATTTTTTTTCAATAACTTAGTGATACAAGTCTTACTAATTAACCCATAGATGGGAAGAGAAGGGGTTAGATTTTCCTAAGGGTATTTGTGCGTAAGGGAATTTAAAAATGTGTCTGTAACTGAAACTCGGCTTGTTGATTTTAAATACCGAGCCATTATCCATTACACAGCCCGCATATCTAAACTTACAGCACCTGGTATTCCCAAGAAGACACCCATCTAGATAATAACCAAGCTCTATGTTGCTTAACTTCGGTGATCGTACGGGAACCGGTGTTTTAACATGATGTGGCCGTAAACAGTAAGTATTCCTTTCCTTATTTTCTTAACACTGAAAATCGCATTGTAGTGCCATCTTCCATGTGTCGTGTCCCTTAAGGACGTTAGTAATCACGGCTCTCCATAATTTCCTCTCCTTTGTAGCTTTTAATAAATTTTGAACTTTTGTTATCTCCCCTAAATCTTGTTCCTCCACCCATTCACTAAAGTTCGTTAGGAAGGTTATGCGTTATCTTCCTCTGTCCCTCTTGCCTTCAATCTGTCCTCTGAGTATCATATTTTCCAAGCCCTCTTTCATCAGTATGTTCCCTAGAAATGTCACTGTCTAAGACTTCTTCGTTGCTCACAGATTCGGTCCATGGTATTTTCATCATCTTTCTCTGGAACCACCTTTCTGTTGCTTCATGTCTCTTCTTCATCTGTGAGGAGACCGTCCAGGATTCATTGCTATATAGGAGGATTGCTATTTTCCTGTTTCTTAATACAGGCCTTTTAAGTTTTCTTCATGCTCGGGTCCTTCTCTCGCTCGAGAATGTATCAGGCTCATTATGCCATTTTAAAAATTTTTTATAAGCGTCAGATTAAGCCCCAAATAGATTATTTTGCTAATCACTTCCTTTTAATCAATTCACCCCAAACAAGTCGATAATGCCATTAAGACGCAAGGGGAGAATGCGAGTGAATGTAAATGAGAAGACTTTAGAAGGAACCGGAAACCCAATCCAAAACATGAAACAAAGGATAAACCTCTACACCAGTTCAAAAAGCCTGGGGAGGATTGCGAACCGGGCGATAGGTGAATCTACTCCTATTATATTTATCAATTCAGAAGTGTGGTTTAGTTCATAACATCAATACAGCGATGACCAACCCCTGAATCCCCACAGAGGCATTTGCGCTTAGGTCTTATTTACGTCAGTAAGTCAAAAAAATATCCGCACTTACGCTATAAAATATCTTTAGGCTAATCATAATACCTTCCGCTCATGCGTGCTTACAGTTGATACTTGACCGCAGTTACAATGTAAACATGACCTCTTCGTTAGCTGTTTCTCCCAAATAGAAACAAAGAACAGTGATCCGAATTTGCAGAGAACATGCTACTTCATCGATGATAACTCGTCTGTTCTCCATTACCATCTTTCGAACTTACTGAATCTTCTTGACAGTGATGGAGGTTAAGGACTGGGTGTCCTGCTCTTTTTTCGTGTGTCACGCTTGTGCAGCCACTTTTAAACTTCTCGAGCCACTCATACATACTTCTACGCGGTAGTGCACTTTCGCCATATTGTGTTAAATCTCCAATGAATTTCATCCCAGACACATCTTCCGACCAGAGAAATTGGAGAAATGTACTTTGTTCCTCCTTGGTGCACACTGTTAGCGATGCGGCCATGTCTGCACTGTAACATCAGCAAGATAATTGGCGCGATCAAGCACCAAATTTGATTATGGGACCACAATAGCACCAACAATAATCACGCATGAGCAGAAGGCTATGTGGCAAAGCTAAAGTCAAAGTAAGGATAATTTGTGACTTACCGTCGTATATTGAAAATGTGCATGTATCATTTAATATCTGTACATGAAAACTAACTTTACTTTTTTATTTTACAAAAGAGATTTCTTTTAAATAAACATCAAACGGATATAGACATTTTGTATATTAAGAAAATATTTTAAACCAGTAACTGATTGGCGAGATATTGTTGTCATATTTGGGCCGGAACTGCTCAATCCGTCAGGCTTCGATAGAGTTTAAAAATTTTTTTACGTGGTCTTGCAGGCGTTGTTTGATTTATTTCCCAATTAGTGAGAGTTGGGCGACTTATTTTCTTATGCAATAATGTAACTTTTTAACATTTAACATCGAGAAAAAGCAATATGCTTTGACCAAAAATTGCGTAATTTTAATTGATTCAATTGATTCAAATAAATAATATATCAATAAGATATTTTCCTCGTCTTTCTTTTTACAAATGTTCCGATATCTGTTCGTTTTAATAATATTTAATAATATTTTACGATTAATTTTTAATGGAGACTTTTATTTTCGAAAATTATTTTTCCTGTTGTTTTTATATTGCGGAATTTATTTTAAAATGCAATTGTTTGTCACAAAATTAATTTAATATTTTTCCTTACGATATTGATATTCATAACAAATATATTAATGATAAAATTTAATATTCAAAATTAATTTGTATTTTTGTTTGTAAAAGACATTTAATAAAATTATGATTGAATACCATTGAAAAAGCATAAAAGTAGCAAATGTAATATTTTAAATTAAACAAATAATGAATAAATAATTTATTAATGTTATTTAAAAGTTGTTTAACTTTTAAATTCCCTGACGAAATTTCTGAACTTCAAATATTCTGAAATAGGCCTCTAGTTCTGGCTTTTAGTTGCACCATGAGTTGGCCTGTAATATACAATGCCATGCTCTTGAGCTAACAATATTTTAAAACTAAATTCATAGCATCGTTGATTTTACGATAGTATATTTACTATAGAGTACACTGTCTGGTTTCAGAGAAAAATAATAATAGAATTCGCTATGTGTTGACATTTGGTTCGAATTCCAGTCGAATCCATTACATTCATTTACGTGATAATACCTTTGGGAAAGGTATGTATCCTCTTCTCTCTCGAACTATGGGTATATAGCAGGACAGACTGGGTTCTATAGCCTTGGATGGCAACTGGTCTAGGAGAAGAACAACTTTGAATTCAAACCAACGGAGGTTAGTTTGGGGACCTTGTGGCACGTAGTGCGCCGAGTCTCTGTATTCAGCCCTTCAAAAAGTGTGGATGGTCCTGCACAAAGCCTTCACCACTATAATCAAATCATGTGCTGGTGTGTGGTCTACGGTTCCTCGGAACTGAGCTGCTTGACTCTCATACGTCGTATACGACGGGAGAGTCCACCATATTAACTCATATTAGGCTATTTTTAATGCCGAAGTTTTATTTTCCTAGAAGATTTGATATATATATATATATATATATATATATATATATTTTTTCAAAAATTTTTTCTGGTAATTTTTCTCTTCTGTTTCCAAAATTATATTGCTTGTAATTTTTTTTTACTATGAAAATATATTGCTGGTATTCTTATTAAAAATGTATTTTTATACTATAATAATATTTTGACCCTAGTTTAGGGTTTCACTATTTGTCCATTGCTGGGACCCTAACAGGTTCTACCACATCGAGTCAGGATGGATCTGGGAACAACAGCAATTAATAGGTGGTTCCAAGCCCTTCGAAACCACCCAATCAGAGGCCTTGCTGCCGGATGTATTTTATCGTCATACCCAGGACTACTTTCCAAAGACTATTTGTGCGTAAGTGAATATAACGAACCCAACAGGAATTGGAAATAAACTCTCCGATTAACAATTTCGAGCCATTATCCATTACACCACCGCACAATGAAACTTACAGTACCTGGTATTCCCAAGCGGTCACCAATCTAGTTACTGACTCGGCTCGACGTTGCTTAACTTCAGTAATCATACGCGAGCCGGTGTTTGAACGCGATATTGCCATGAGCTCGAAGCTTTTGAGTAAAATTCCATACTAATAACACCCAGTTATGTAAAAATTTTGGACGAATTTTGAATCTAATTTACACCAGAAACAATTTCTGCATCAAGGCGTTTTATATTGAGCGAAAAAGTTTATAATTATTTGGTGCAGGGTTAGGTGTATATAACATATACGGCAAAACAGACCAACGAAGTTCAAAGATATATTCTGTCTGTGCTATGTATGCGGCCTTGCGTTGTGATGGTTTTGCGATGTCAAGGAACACTCGTTGCCACTATTGGGATGTCAACGAATACTCTTTGTCACTTTCGTAATGCTCGTTGTAGTAGAGACTTTGTAATCGCAGATACAACTATAGTAACGCTGTTGAACAGTACTGGTGTCAGACACCTTCGAATAACACTTACACTAATAGTACTTGCTTGATAATACTCGTTCAAATAGTAGCCACCGAGTAGTAATCTGTATACAGAAATAGTATAGTGAATAGAGTAGATAATAGCAGTCCGTATAGTAACAGAGGATAGAAGTGTTGATTCGAATAGTCATAGAGGATAGAATAGAAATAGCGAACGTTAGTCCTCAGCTTCTTCCTACATATATGCATTTCCTCTATGGCGATCTATGTTCAAACTCAAGTGTCGGCAGTGGCACTTTATTCCTAGATAACAGATGGAAAACATTTTTTCCGATTGATGAGTGCAGGGCGTTTTTCGACCAAACTTGTATGGACACGAAGCGACCTCTGGGCGTATGGATATGAATTTAATGTTTCATTGCCTTTTAAGAATTCTTTCATAGAGCTTAGATTTTTGGGGTCGTTTGTAGTGATTCATCTAATCCTCATCAATCTGTTGACTTTTACATTGAACAGGGTCCTCCAGGGTGTGACAGAAATACGCTATAGGTAAAACGTCTGGGGATACCCTGCATTTCTTTAAAAAACACCTTAAAATGTAAATATTTTTGTATATTTTTAAACTAAAAGATAACATTTCACTAACTACAATATATTTACCGATCTACGTACTGACCAGGATCGACGTTGTTTAACTTCGGTGATCATACATGTTGTAGTATACCTATGGACGATAATAGCTATGTCCCCGTTCACATAAATGCAGTAATAAATACTGTATGTTGGTCTGCAGTTGGAGATTCATTGAAGAATTCGTTTGACTCACTTCTAGCAGATGACTACTTCTACGCGCCGCTGGCGAATCTTATATGTGTTGTTCTTGTGTTAAGTATTATCGTTCATTACCAACCTTCCCTAGGTTACAACAGTACAGAAACCAGTGTTTTAAGGTGATGTGCCCGTAAGATCCAAGGTCTCATTGAAATGAAGAGCAACAGATAACGTATTTGACAAGTTTGAGTAAATGAAACCATGATTAAATATCGCAAAGGCAACCTAAAGCGGCAAAAGAATAGAAGCTGTGGAGTGCCGTAACCGGCTATGACTTGAATGAATATATGATAGATAGATAGATAGATAGAGAGAGGGAGAGAGAAAGAAATCCATAACACTTAATGTCGTCCGGTGAAAGTAAATCACTTTCATAAATCACACCAATTTTCGTAAACGTCGACAACTTTATCGCATCGTGATAGTTGAAAGGAAACGTTTGATAGCACAATTTCGTCTGAACCGACACAAACAGCCATGTCTTTGTATTCGTCTTTAAACTCTTCCATTAACACTGTCTAAAACCACATTGCGTCCTGACTCATCACCAGCTTCATCGGTGACTAAGTCCAACCGAATAACGATTTCCGGGGCACATAAAGCCTTCTTCCTGAATTACGTATTATTGTCAAGTATCTTGTCGAACGGCGACCGCTATTCTCACTTACGCTTCGTACAGCTAAACTGACCACCTGCCTTTTGCTTTTGGATTGGAGTTGATCGATACGAACGGCCTTTTCACGCGAGCAATACTTGTGATCGTAATTTAGAGTTTTGGTTCATTAGGACGCTATCCGAAAACTACAGATGTTCGCACAAAGACAGCCACTTGACCCAAGATCCAGACCTTCCGCTGATTATTCGCGGATCTGTTATTGGAGGCAATGGTCTAATTAGGTGTACGAAGAAAAACTAACCCAATCAGTATGAGTTCATTAGCCTCATACGTTTCCGTTCTTTCATCATTAGTTTGTTTAACACACAAAGTGATAAGTCAGTTGCCTTTTGTAACATTAATACCGCTTTATACGCCGAGAGTTGAAGCCTTACGTTAATAGGAACTTCGTTCTAAACAAGACATTTTTTCTTCTTCTAATCAAGTTTGGACGAAGACTAACGAAATTTCTTTTATTTTAATTTTTCAAAGTGTCATACCACTTTTCTATTTTCAGCACAAGACCCAAGAGCCAGTCGAGGTAGCAGTTAGAGAGTAAGAGACAAGGCTTATGTCGAGATTTAATTTTCCACTTGTTTTTTTATTATTTCATTTCCGTCCTATATTTTTGACGGTAGTTTTTTTTCGTCGGCAAGGATGGATTCTATCACATTAATTTCTCTTAATATACAAAACTTTGAATTCTCTTCTTTACAATTATTTTCCCCTCGTGCAAGGCTAGAAAGCCACTCGAGGTAGAGGGTTACAGAGTAAGAAGCACAGTTTTTGCGGTTGTGTGTGGAAGATAACGGTTAACCCTAGACATGAAAAGTTAACATTGTAGTGATTCGAGGAAGCATCTTCTTGGGAGTCGGTCCCACATAGCATCCGTTCGGGAGAAGAAGCTGCTCGAGTGGAACTTCATTCTCACCAATGGACTATAAAGGGAATGAGGGTGGTTCACTACTATGGGCGTGGCATAGTGGGTCTTAATCGTGAAGGTTAGAACTGATGGAACTATGGAATTTAGTTCTTCTGAGCACTTTTCATGAAAAATTGAGATAGAACAGTAAGAGGCTTGCAATGTTTCGTTTGTGAGAATGGGGTTGCAGAGTGGAAAATATTTCGGCACTCACAATGGCGCGAGGGACACTTTTGCGTGTATTTATATTTTTGCATGAATATTATAGCAAGCATGTTTGCTATATATATATATATATATATATATATATATATATATATATATATATATATATATTTATATACACATACACATATATATATATATATATATATATATATATATATATATATATATATATATATATATATAAGTATTTAAAAGATCTGAATAGCTATTATAACATGATTTCGTTGTCAAGCTTTTGAATCTTTCTATACTTCGTTTTGATTGGTTATTCTAGCTTTTGTAACAATGTTTCCCCCCCTAGTGTAGGATCGTTAATTAATCTGAAACTTTTAAAACCATTTATTTTATTTTCAACATCATCACTTGATAAGACACAGAGTGTGTTGAAACAAAATTGCTATTTTTGTAGTGATTTTATAACATACTTATGTTATAATTTTTTATAAAAATAATTATATATATATATATATATATATATATATATATATATATGTGTGTGTGTATTTAGCATGTATATATACATATATGTTTGTATAACTTTATATTTCTATGTAAATGTGAGTATACATATATATTTGTATATGTAAATAGGTTATATTCTCTTAATTTTAATTATTTATTAGATGCATATATATTTGTACGTGAATGATAATTATATTTTTTGTAGTTAAAGGCATGTAAAAGCGTGTATATATGTTTTTGTATATGTGTATATATGTGTATACATTTACGTATTTATTTATTATTTTTCTCCCCCACGCCTGTCATCTAGAGTCAATTTGCTCCATGAATTTTACAACATTTCACCATGCCTGGCACAACATCTATTATGAAATTGTAGGATATCTACAAACAAAAGTAATAGAAAAAAAGAAAAAATATAAATGAAATTGGCTAGTTAAAAAGAAAAAATTAAAACTCCTCATTCGTGCGCATAGTCGATTAAGACATTTTCGTGTGAGTGAATTGTTTTTTCCTTTGAAAGCATTTTTTATGTTAAAATTGGGATCAGTTTCGTTATGGTGGGTAACCAACTCATTCGATGTATTCTTTTGTAGAATGTTCCTTTTGTGTTCATATAATATTTTACTTGGATTCCCTGACGTTTCTCCTATGTATTGTTGTGACAATTATTACAGGCGATCGAGTAAATTCCTTCTTCAGGCTTTATTGTTATGTTTAGTATTATCTAAGACTATTATTGATTTGGATATAGTAGTAACAAATTTTATCTTGTGTTTAGATAGATTTTTCCGAATTGTAGATGCGATAGAGTTAGTTGATAGGACACTATATTTTTTTTTGATTTATTGTGTTTGTCAGGAGGGGCGGTTCTTCTATCTTATAATAGTTGATGTGCCTATTGTTTCGCATTGAATAAAAAATAATTAGGGCCCTGAAGAAGCTTGAATGTGTTTTCAATGTATGTTTGTGTAAATATTGAGGGCTGCAATTTATGAGTGCTCTTAAGTCAAATCCAATGATTATAGCGGATTTTATTTTGTTGTTACGATATTAATAGAAATGTATTAGATCATTTTTGTTTATCGATTTCCGGTGGACACAAAGTTTAAACACTCGTTAATACGGTGTAGCTTCTTCAAAAGGTAAAGAATTATATGCTTCCATTTCGTATGTTAATTCTGTTGTATGTTCGGCTTTGTTTAGTCTATCTACTAAGTCAGGTAAATCAGTATTTTATATATATATATATATATATATATATATATATATATAATGCATGTTTCATTAAATAATATAGACAAGTTTTGTCTATTTATTTTAAGTTCCTTTCACATTGTCTGATAAGCTTAATCACATTATCGTTGAAATCAGACAATATGAAAGGAACTTACTTAAAATAGACAAAACTTGTCTATATTATTTAGTGAAACATGCATTAATAAAAAATTGCTGTCTAAATATACACAATATATATATATATATATATATATATATATATGTGTGTGTGTGTGTGTGTGTGTGTGTGTGTGTGTGTGTGTA